TTTTTTTTTTTATTTCCTTGATGGCATAGGAGATGAAGATGTCATTATCCAAACCTCAAGCCGCCCGCTGGCCATGGTCAACCAGGTAATAATATTGTAATCAATTCATGATCTCATGGATGACGAAATTAAACGACACACCAAAGTTGCATAAAACACACTTATCACAAATTTAATCATCCATCTTTCAATCTTCTGCACTCCCCAATCTCAAAAATCATATAGTTACAGCAAAAACTGAGCCCACTTAAGAACAATATGGTGGGGAAAATAGCAAGTGCATGGGCTGCCAGGGACTCATCTGGTCATCTTTCACCTTACTCTTTCCATCTCAGGTTCCTCTCATAATCCAACAAAAATTAATATAAGTTTTCGAAAAAAAAAAAACAAACAAATATTAATTTTATTTTTGCAAATATGTTAGTAATTAATTGCAACATGAACAGGGATAAAGGCCCTGAAGATGTGGTGTTAAAAGTGTTGTACTGTGGAGTTGACCATACAGACCTTCATCAGGCCAGGGGTGAGCTGACTAGCAGCACTACCAAATACCCTTTTGTTCCAGGGTATATTTGTCTTTTTTGAATTTCTTATGGATGTATTTTAGTTTTAAAAATTTGCATAAAATTCACTATTAAAATCATTTTTTTTTAATTTTTTTTTGGTAAAGCCATGAAATTGTTGGAGAAGTTGTTGAGGTTGGGAGACAAGTTAAGAAATTCAAATCAGGGGATATAGTTGGAGTTGGAGGGATTGTTGGCTCTTGTGGAGAATGCAGTTTATGCAAATCCAATTTGGAGCAATATTGCAGCAAGAAAGTGTTCACTTACAACCACATGTACAACGACGGGACCCCCACGCACGGCGGATTTTCTTCCGCTATGGTTGTTCATCAAAGGTTCGATCAAAACGTGATCTTTGTCGGCTAATATTCGCGAACTAAGTCCTGCGGCTATCATTAAAGTAATGCGATTCTTAAAACACATGTTGGTTATTCTGTGGTGCTCGTTTGATCGTCCGAAATTTTGAACGATTACAAAAGTAGTGTACACACTCTTTCCTGACTGAATGACTAGGCTAATAGAGCAAGGTCGAGAACATTGTCTCATTATGTAAATATGCTCTAAGCGATTGTACATCTCGTCCGAAATTTTTTAATTTCCTGGCCGAATTTGTTTTTTGTTCCAGTCACTAATTCTATGTTGTTTTCGGACAGTACGACTTTTCACCTTGAAAATATAGGTTTTTTTTTGCATGAAAAGTATGACATAGCGCTCTCATAATACTTAAAACTTTTCGATTAATCCACAAAACATGGGAACAACAGTTTTGCAGTTAAAATCCCAGACAAGCTGGCGCCAGAACAGGCTGCCCCACTGTTATGCGCGGGCGTGACTGCTTTTAGTCCTCTCAAGCAATTCGCGGGTATTTCTGGAAAAGTCATAAGCGGAGGAGTACTAGGGTTGGGAGGCGTCGGTCACCTGGCTGTCATAATAGCAAAAGCAATGGGCCATCATGTGACTGTTATAAGTTCTTCGGACAACAAACGGCAAGAGGCAATCGAGCATTTGCAAGCCGACTCTTTCCTCGTGAGCACAGATGAGCATGAAATGAATGTGGCAGTAAACAGCCTCGATTACATTCTCGACACGGTCCCTGTTGTTCACCCCTTGGAACCGTACCTCAAGCTCTTGAAAGCCCAGGGAAAATTATTGATTGTTGGGGCTGCTCCTCGTCCGCTTCAGTTTCTAGCTACCGACATAATTCAAGGTATATATGACTGCACATGTTTTGTTAAATTTAAAGAGTAGAAATAAATATTGAGATGATAGTTACTAAGTAAATGTTCAGGGAAAAAGATGATTAAAGGAAGTTTGCTAGGGAGCATGAAGGATATGGAGGAGCTGCTCGAGCTGTGGGTGGACAAGGGCTTGAAGAGCTTGATTGAGGTGGTGAAAATGGACTATGTGAATGAGGCTTTTCAAAGGATGGAAAAGAATGAAGTGAGGTACAGGTTCGTGCTTGATGTAGCCGGCAGTAATCTTTGAGCCAATATACATATCATGAATCAAGTTTCGATTCGTGTTTGAACATCAATAATTCGTGTAGGATAGAGATTTGCAGTTGAAATTATCGTGTGGGCCGATAGTTTAAATTCCTGTTTCAAAGAGGGCACAACTGTTTGTTTGATAATTCCCTAGATGCAAGCATGGATGATATATACTATCACTCTTTGTATATTTAGCTTTGTTCTATATCAATTATAAATAACTTAGAATTATCTTTGTAAATGCACATTCAAATACCATTTCACTACAAATCTATTCATCCCCACCAAGAACTTTTAGCATGATCTCTCTTGGTTTGCACACAGCCTCAAGCGGCTCCAATTTGGGCATTGTCAGCCCAACTCCTTCGGCCAAATCGACTTCCTCGGCACCCACCCTCTCCCAATCAAAGCACTGAATCAACGAGCCCAAGCCCAAGCCCACCATCCTCCAGCCCAGCCCGGCTCCTGGGCACGCCCTCCTCCCCATTCCAAACGGCATCAGCTTTTGTGTTTCCACCTCTGTCTCCTCAAACCTTTCGGGCCTGAACCTCATGGGCTCATCCCACAGTCCCGGATCCCTTTGTATGGCCCATGCATTGACCAATAGGATCGTTCCACGCGGGACGTCGTAGCCCCCAATCTTGCAGTCGGAGGATGATTCGCGGGGCACCCCGAGGGGCCCAGCCGGGAACATACGGAACGTCTCGTGGATTATGTTGCTGAGGTAAGGCAGGTCGGGCAGGTCTTTCTCCTCCAAAAAACGGTGAGGCCCGACTCGCGAGTCGAGCTCTGATTGGGCCTTTTGGAGCACTTGGGGGTGGTTGAGCAGGAGGGACATAGCCCATTCTATAGTCCCGACCGATGTGTCAGTGCCGGCAATTATCATGTTCTGCACAAGGGATTATCGATTTTAGCATAAATCAGAACTTATTTCTGCAAAAATTTCAGAACATGGGTTTATCAAATAAGAATTTCTTAATAGAAAATGACAAAGGAAAATGGAACAGAGAATAGAACACTGTTACGGTGATAAAGCCCTTCATGATTCGATCCGTGTAGAATTCCGGGTTGGATTCTTGCAGTGACAACAAATGCCCAATAATGGTGTTCCTCTTCTCCCGGCGGTGCTCCACCAGCAAATCCTGGTAAAAATCGTCCAGTTTTTGACCCAGGGCACCCATTTTCTTCTCCAGACCTCTGTAATCAATCCACCTCAAAAATGGCAGAAAGTCCTCTGGATTAGACGACTGTGCGTAGGCGAAAACCTCGCTCACCATCCCCCGAAATCTCTCTCCCAATTTCTCGTCGCCGCAGTACCGCTTGCCGGCGAGCATCCTCATTATAAGATTGAAGATGAATTCAAAGACCACCGGCCTCAATTTCACGTTCGTGCGCTGTGAATTCTGGCAAATTAGGGCTCGAACAGTTCTCCTGATTTCGTCCTCTCTGATCCGCGAGAAGGCGTTCAGGCGGGAGGGTGATAGGACCTCCTCCGCGCCCAAGCGACGGAGGTTGCTCCACTGGCGGCCGTAGGGGGCACCGGCCACCGTGGTGTGGCCGTAGCCTATGTATTCGTCCACCAGGACGCGCGGGCGGTTGGAGAGAACGATGTCGTTGGCGCCGACGAAGCACTCCGCCACCAGATCCGGCGAGGACACCACCACCACGCGGCGGAAGCCGAGCTTGAGGGAGAAGATGGGGCCGTGTTTCTCTGAGAACTGCTGGAAGGTCCGGTGAAGGGGCTGCTTCAGGAGGTGGAGATGGCCGACTACGGGGATCGCCGGCGCCGGGGACGGAGGCAGGCGGTGGTTTCTCCCCGTGAAGCGTTTTTTGAGGAACATTAGTAGGACGACGAAGAGCAGAGTGAGTGAGGTGTAACAGAGTGTGGGTTCCATTTGGCTGCTTTTTTCCGGTGGTGAGTGGAATAGTTAGAGCATTTTTATCAGGTTTATTGCTCCAAATGCCCCCTGTATTATATGAAATCTGCACGTATTTCAAAAATTGCTTCAAAACTACTCCTTGTATTTAGGGTATGTTTGGTAAGCCAAATAAGCTAGCTTTTAGCTTATTTGGTTAGCTTATATAAGCTCTCTGTTTAAGATAAGCCTCGTTTGGTAGGACGAGCTTTTTTAAAAAGCTCGAGTTTATTTCATAAGCTACTTTAGGTAGCTTTTCAAATAAGCTAGTTGGATTTTTTTTATTTCAGCTAGCTTATCAGCTAATTTACCAAACACCTTTTATCATATAAGCTAGCTTTTCAGCTATAAGTCATAAGCTATAAGCTCAAAAATTACATATAAGCTATAAGCTAACTTATCAGCTAATTTTACCAAACATAGCCTTAATGTTTACATGTACACTCGCTCTGTTAACACCGTCACAAATCTCCCTGATGGGGTTACAATTATGCTCTGCTGTAAATATGTTACCTTAAAATTAAAATCCCAAAGGTGAAGATTGAACCCTGTACCTTTGGGTTAAAAGGAGCATCTCCCACCAACTGAGATATTTAATATTTATTTATAAATGTGATTCTATTTATATATATCATAACGTAAAGAAGAAATATCATAACAATTCATTAGAAATAATGTAGTAATTAAATATATAGATTCCAAGTTATAATTAATTATAAATAATGCAATAATTAAGAAAATATTTTCTAACTTATAAATAATATAATAATTAAGTAAGTCGATTATAAATTACTAATATACAATAATTAAATAAATATATTCTAAATTATAAATAATATATTAATTGACTAAATATATTCTAAATTAGTAATACATAATAATAATATAAATATATTTTAAATCATAAATATTCTAAATTATAAATGATATAATAATAATAATTATAATAAAATAGATTATAAATTTTAAAATAATATAATAATTATTTAAATAGATTTTGTATTATTATAAAATATAAATATTGAACTTTTATATCACTTATAATTTGTAATTATCATTAAGTTATGTATATTTAAGTAATTATATTCTTACTTATAAATATTTATAATAATTGAATAAATTATATTATTACTTATAAAGGATATAATAATTAAGTAAATATATTCAAAATTATTTGTCCATTGCAAATGGAGCTGGAAGAGTCATTGTTGACAATTCTCTTGGCATAGTGCTAATAATGGACTAGATCAAAATGGATCAATTAAATTCTAGTGCTTCTTATATTAGTGAAGTTTCTAGAAAAAAATATATCAAACGACGCAATGCACCTTGGGTCGCTACGGAAACAGTCTCCTTATATAATTACAAGGGTAAAGTCTGCGTACAACTGACCCCCCCAGACCCCAACCAGTTGGGAATATACTGGGTATGTTGTTGTTGTTGTTGTTGTATTCAAAATTATAAATAATACTATAACTAAATAAAGACATTCGAAATTATAGATAAGGTTAAAAATTATATATATATATATATATCATTATAATATAATATAAAATATAATATAAATAATATTATATATATATTGTTTATATTATAATATAATATATAATATATAATACATAATATATTATATATATAATATATATTATATATGTCATATTATAATATTAATATATTATTAATATATATTATTATATATTATAATATTATTATATTATAATATGACATATATAATATATATTATATATATCATATTATAATATTAATATATTATTAATATATATATTATTATATATTATAATATTATTATATTATAATATATATAATATAAATTATATTATATAAAATATATTACGTAATATAATATAATATAATATATATTATATATATAATGTATATAATATATAATATAATATGTATAATATATTATATATAATATATTAATATATAATATAATATATATAATATAATATAAATATATAATATATATAATATATTATATTATTATTATATTATAATATATATATTATATTTTATATAGATCCAATGCTTTCTCGGGCGATCCATCTAATTATTTATTTGACTGACCAAGTTTCTTGTACTGTCCTAGGCCTTTGTTTTGATGTAAAATATAATATATATATATATATTATAATATAATAATATTATAATATTATTATATTATAATATTAATATATTATTAATATATATTATAATATTATTATATTATAATATTAATAATATTATTAATATATATATTATTATATATTATAATATTACTATATTACATAATATATTATATATGATGGGTCTCCTCTCAGATCTGGAGCGAAACGATGGAAAACCGCCCAAATCTGGAATGAACCGATGGGAATGAGCTCAGATCTGACTCGATAGCCTCTAAACCGTTGTTGAACCACGAGAAAACCTGCAAGAACTCAACGCCGGAGGGGTTTCCGGCGTAGAGCCTCCGACGCTCAAGTCAGTATATGAAAGAGAGGAAGAGAGCTGCTCTGAGAGAGCAGCAGCAGTAATGGAGGAGAGTATGGAATGAATGGGAGTTAGGGTTTTGGGGTTACCTCAGCTCCTTTATATAGAAGCAGGGCATTTACTTGAAGTTCCCAAAATGCCCTGGCCGACTTACCTGAAGTTCCCAAAATACCTTGGTCGGTTCGCATTCCGCCCCTCTCCTAGTCAGCATTTAGATTCCTCCTTATCCTTAGTAGCTTCCTTCTTATCCTTGACAGCTTTCTTATGATATATCGAAGTGTATCGAATCGCCGGGGATCTATGAGCCTCGACACTTCTCCAGTCGACTCGGGATTCCGACTCGAGTCGACAGGGTCATCTTCAGTCATTGGTAGACCATGATGCGCTTATCCGTCTTTCCAAGGAAATCGACTTATTCTAGTCGACACGTGGAAGTCGACCGAGAGACGCCTGGACCCCTGACCAGAGATATTATAGGGAGTCTGCGGAGAGAGTCGAATTTGGCTAAGTCGACTCGGTAATCTCTGAACCGTAGATAGTATGAACCGATATGCGATAGTATGGCTATATCATCTAGTCTCTCCACCGCTTCGTATTCCGTGTGCCATCTTGGCCGTTGGTTCTGCCTTTAATCTAAAGGCTAGGGTTTCTCTACTCCCCTATAAATATCCTTCTTCTTCCATTGTCTACACTTTTCGCATTTAGAGCTCCCGAACTTTCTGCTTTTTCGGCAAATAAAACTTTGCAAGTTTTTCGGCACCCGTTTCGTTCTCCGGCGTTCTTCTCCAGCTTTTCCAGGACTTCTCCGACAATCATCATGTGTAAGTTTTCTTTCGCCTTTTGATTTCTTACTATGTGTGATCATCTTTTCTCCCTTTCTCTTGTTTTTCTGGGCGATATGTTCAGATTTTACATTCTTACCGGATTCTGGGGTTTTCTGGGTGAATTTCTAGCGATTTCTTTTTAGATCTTTAGTTGCAGATTTTCTACCTCTCCGAGTGTGTTTTTTTTTGCAATCGATTCGATATTGATTCTTCTGCTTCTCTTCGATCGTTACTTATTTGATATTCCCTCCTCAAGTTGAATACATTAAGGATGGTTCACGCATTCCCAAGGATCTTCTATTCCGTTGCACCTCTGTCGAGTCGATTTGCTCGCTTCTTTTATGGTTTTATTTCCCTTGGAGTCGAATTGTGGCTGCCATTACATTTTTCTATTGATCGTCGTTTTCTCTTTTCTAGATTCCAACTCCGCTCCTTCTTCCGACCCCGTGTCTGGTTCCCTTGCTCATGAAATCGACAATTACCCGGAGTCTAACTCCGTTCAAATGACTCACACTAGAATGAGTGCTTATCAAAATGTCAAGCCGGAGAGGTCTGTTAACTCTAGTGCCTCGCCCTTCGGCATCGACCGGGACGTGTACAATTAGGCGCTATTATCGGGCACTCTCTTTGAGGACCCTGAAGCCCTTCGTGCTCCCGAGTCTCCTCGACTTAGTTTAATCCCTCGAGGTATTTCCCTAAGGCCTTTAGATATACTTTCATAGAACAATCTTTACGCATTCATCAATAACAGTTCCTTCAATTAAGCCTGTGACTGCAGCATGTTCCATAGCGAAGTTAGCTGTTCCTAACCCCATTTTCTTATGCTCCTGCAGCCGAAATCGATGGCTTCAGAGAGTACAGTGGGCTTCCCTCTGATTGGGGATTGGTCGCTCCTACAATGGATAACGACTTCCGTCATCCTTTCCGCGATTGCTTTACCTTTTTCGTAGATCAGATAATGTCGGGATTGCGCTTCCCGATCCAACCTGAGCTGCTGTCGCTAAGTAATCTTTACGATATACCAATAAACCAATTTACCCCCAACTCCATACGAATAATGGTGGCCTTTGTAGTCGTCACCCGTATAGTGCTAGGTAGTTTTGTACCCGATTTTTTCCTTTACTGTTACGGATATATATTTAGCAAGGATGCCCATTGTTTGGGCCGTCGTGTGGGCGTTACCTTTCTCGATGACCTATCTTCTAATATCATCGGTTGGAAGAAAAAGTATTTCTTCATTCATCCCGCTCCCGGCCAATATCCTTTTTCGAATGAGTGGATTACCCGCAAGCCAGAGCAACGTAAGCGTCCTCGCTCTTCACAATTCGCGAGCATGCTGGAGGAACTGAATAAGCACACATGGAGTGCCCGTCGATTGACCAAGGACAGCTCCCTTCTCAATCATGTTGGTATTTGTATCGACAAGAGTATTCCTCGACTCAGTGACCCTTGTAAGCTCCTCTATCGGATTTTGTTCCGACTCGCTATCGACCGTTCGACCACGTATGCCTTTGTGTTTGTTTGTTTTGACATGTATGTGTGGTTCGTATGCTTGTTTTCTTCGTACTGATTATCTATCTATGCCGACAGTGAAGGATTTGGCTCGCTTTGAGAAGAAGAAGGCCGAGGCGGCCAACAAACCAGCCACTCGCCCTATCCCTGCTC